GGGAACTTAACATGCAACTCAACTCCCCCCTGCAACCGGTTGTGTTAATGCAAAGTGTAAAAAAAAAAGTGGATTAAATACCAAATTGCACGGATTAATATCGAATACTCCCGGACTGCAGAGCAGCTCAAGCTGCAGAGGTTCCTCTCCTAAGTTTCTCACATTTTTATTTATTTTTATTTTTATTTTTTTTCTCCCTATAACTTCAGTAACTTCTGATCACACTCATTCCTGGTGAGGAGAAAGAAATAAAAAAAACACCACCACAAGCTGCTCACGTGGAGATCAGCGAAGCGTGGAAACCCCTTGAGGACTCTCAGCACTTTTTTTTTTTTTTTACCCCCAGGATCACAAAAAAAATGCCTGGACACAAATTTTCCCGACACATTAAAAGAGAAAGGAAGTGTAATGGCACTTTTGCTGTATCCAAACATTGGTGGGTTCAAATGGTGCTTTTTTTGTTGCTGTTGTTTTGTTTTATTTAAGTTGTACAGTAGCTAAAAAATATTCAAAAATTAGATCCTTGGGAGTTGCTCCATCCTCACCTCCACTTCCAGAGAGGGAGGAATCAGATTCCCCCTTGGCTGGGGGTCGATACAGTACAAACAGCTCTGACCAGAGTACAAAAGTTACACTTTTCTATAAAAAAAACCACAAGAGCTCTGCTGATTGTTCAGAAATAACTCCCCAACAATCAGCAGCCGCTCTCAAATATCAGCAGCATCAGGCATTGACACATTTTTAGTCCTCAAAGAGTTTTCTTTTCAACAGTTTAACCAGTTGTGCTATATATCTGTCACTAGGTTAAATTGGTTAAGTCCTTTCACCAAAACTGTTTTTTCCTTTATTAAAAAAATAGGGGGGGATTCAACCCCCTCCCCCCCTGACACTCATTTATTTGGGGAATAAATGGTGTCACTCCAAGGCACTACAACGTTTTTCAAGGATACCAACTGTCACAGTTTCACTATTTCGGTATTTTTTTTTTGTTTGTTTGAAATTCTGGTTGAAAAGTCACAGTTCAAAAAAAAAAATAAGAAGTAAAAATTGAGGTAATTTCTTTCAATACCAAAAATACATGAATTGAGCCATTTCCCAGTCTGGTGAAAGGTCTTTTTTTTTTTTTTTTGTAAATACACAGCTATGACCATGAACATGCAGCACAGCAGAGAAGGATACTAGGCCTTTATTCCGAGCTCTCCTGCTCCAGTTTTTAAGGAACAGCTCAATTTGCACAGTAAAAACACCCAATTTTCAATATTTATTTCCTTTTTTTGGGGGGGGCTTCGGAATCCCAGCTTGGATCAGCCCCATCAGCATGGATTTGAGAGCTTGCACAAATTGGAGTTCTTAAAAAGAGTTCAGCAGAGCCCCAGCAGCTACAGCATCTTCATCTATTTTTCAAACAATTGCACTTAAATCTACTCTTTTTTTTTTTACTCAGGAGTCGAGACAAAGCCTCCACCACAAAGTCCCAACCTCTGGAATTTCTTCTGACATTACACAGTCATCCCACTAACTCTAGAAATATGGCTTTGCAGATGAGACAACCGGGGCGGGGAAGGAGCAGGTCGATGAGTTTTATCGGCCACACAATTCCTAATTTGATCTCGATTCCCTAACGCCCCCTTTTTATTGCAGCCAGGACTGGATAACTCCAGGAATTCTGGAATCAATAATTCCACCTGTTTTAGCTGTGAACACCTGCCAGCCCTCCCCCCCTCCCCCCCTAAATCCACTGCTTTGCTACCTTTGCTCTACAGGCACTACAGGATATTAAGACTATAAAGTTCAGCCATGCATAGATAAACTCACGAGCCTTCTCAGGATGCTCCACCCCTGGGATCCAGGGAATATCCTGGGAAGCCTAAAACACAAACTAATTGCTGGCTTTTACTGGCCTCTAACAGGACACAAGGAGTTTATATAAAGTCTCGTGGTGTGCAAAAAAAACCTTAAAATAATAAAGTCCTAAATTCGGCTTTTTAAATCTAGGGAGGGAAAACTGGGAATGAAACCTTAGCAAGGTCTCCATCCCAGCCTGCAGCACCTGGAATTCCAGGGTGAAACCACCTAAAAGGGCTGAAACCACCTGAAAGGCGTTTCAGGTTATTGAAATTTCAGCCATCTCGTATTCCAAAGGTAAAAAAATCCATCTCTAAAGCAAGGCATAAACTGGAATCAGCCTTAGGTTGGATGGTTAAATCTCATTTTCCTGCCACGGAATGAGATTGTGCAGACACTTTGTAAGTATTTTAAACACTTTAAGAGATTTTTCAGTCTGTCTGTTTCTCACTGTTTTACACAGATCTGACTGAAAAAATAAAAGTTACAGTTGTATTAAAAGACTGAACTGTCCCTCAGGGGCAGGACTATGAAAATAAAAAACCCTTCCTGGGCTCTTCCCACCTGAATTCTGACCACACCACTAATTAATACCTGTAATTAATACCTGTAAGTAGCTGCTGAGGTACTTTATAAACCTTCAGTCAGTGATTTACAAAGGCCTGACTTCAAATTAAACTAAGTTAGGACAAGCTGCCAACATTCCTGTCGTAGCATTTAGGAACCATAAAACTTGATTTACATCAAATCCTTCTGGAAGCCCCACGAAAAACTTCCTTCCCTGTTTCAAGTCCATCCTTTCCTATTTTTTACCTTTGGAAATCAGTGTTTTCCATGAAAAGGAATCCTTCAGCTAAAGGATCTCCCTCTTCCCTTGCCTTGCTTATAAGGACTGGAATAAGCAGCAGCCAGGTGTGGATGCAGCCCAGCCATGGAATATTTCCTGGAACCCCAAAAAGGGCACTGGGAAGAAATTAGGATTTCTCCACCCATTTCCCTCCTGAAATGTATAAAAACCTTTCCTTTAGAAAAGTTGAAATTTCGAGTGCAGATCAAACTGTGCAGAGGGTGAGACCTCCGAGGGCTGGGCAGGGCTGGAGTGTTCCTTCACTTCTCGCTTTGGGAACACCCCACAGCTGTGGGACTGGGGGCTTTTCTGGGTGAGTGTTCCCCAGTCTCTCACTTTGGGAACTTCCCCACAGCTGTAGGTTTAGGAATTTTTCAAATGTTCTCCCATTTCTCGCTTTGGGAACATCCTGGCAGCTGTGGGACTGGGGACTCGTTTATATTTTTCCCAGTGTTCCCTCATTTCTCGCTTTGGGAACATCCCAACAGCTGTAGGACTGGGGACTCAGCTGAGTAAGTGTTCTGTTCCCCCATTTCTCACTCTGGGAACACCCCACAGCTCTGGGATTAGGGACTCTTCTGGGTTTTTCCCACTGTTCCCCCATTTCTCGCTTTGGGAACATCCTACCAGCTGTGGGATTAGGAATTCTGAGTTTTCAAATGTTCCCCCATCTCTCGCTTTGGGAACACCCCAACAGCTGTAGGCTTAGGAATTTTTAAAACATTCCCCCATTTCTCACTTTGGGAACACCCTGACAGCTGTGGGATTGGGGACTCTTCTGTCTTTTTCCCACTGTTCCCCATTTCTCGCTTTGGGAACATCCTGAGAGCTGCAGATTTAGGGTTTCTAAGTTTTTGAATCATTCCCCCATTTCTTGCTTTGGGAACATCCCCACAGCTGCAGATTTAGGGTTTCTAAGTTTTTGAATTGTTCCTTCATTTCTCGCTTTAGGAACAACCTAAAAGCTGTGGGATTAGGGATTCTTCTGAGTAACTGTTCCCTCATTTCCCACTTTGGGAACACCCTGACAGCTCTGGGATTAGGAATTCTGAGGTTTTAAAATGTTCCCCCATCTCTCGCTTTGGGAACAACCCCAACAGCTGTGGGATTAGTTATTCTTCTAAATTGTTTAGTTATTCCCCCATTTCTCCCCCTGACAGCTGTGGGATTGGGGACTCTGCAGAGTTCTTCCCATTGTTCCCCCATTTCTCTCTTTGGGAACACCCTGACAGTTGCAGGTTTAGGGACTCTTTTATAGAAATGTTTCAACTGTTCCCCAGTCTCTTGCTTTGGGAACACCCTGACACCTGTGGGATTAGGAATTCTGAGTTTTCAAATGTTCCCCCATTTCTCGCTTTGGGAACATCCTGCCAGCTGTGGGACTGGGGACTCTTCTGTGTCTTCCCACTGTTCCCACATTTCTCACTTTGGGAACAACCTAAAAGCTGTGGGATCAGGGACTCTTCTGCATTTTTCCCATTGCTCTCCCATGTCTCATTTTGGGAACATTCCAATAGCTGTGGGATTGGGGACTCTTCAGAGTTCTTCCCAGTGTTCCCCCATTTCTCGCTTTGGGAACACCCCACAGCTGTGGGACAAGGAGATCCTTTCAAGGAAGTGTTCCCCAATTTCCCGCTTTGGGAACACCCTGACAGCTGTGGGACTGGGGACTCTTCCACGTTTTTCCCACTGTTCCCCCATTTCTCACTTTGGGAACATCCCCACAGCTGCAGATTTAGGGATTCCAAGTTTCTGAATCACTCCCCCATTTCTTGCTTTGGGAACACCCTAAAACCTGCAGGAGAAGGGACTTTTTCAAGTAACTGTTCCCCCATTTCTCGCTTTGGGAACACCCTGACACACCTGCAGATTTAGGGATTCTAAATTTTTGAATCACTCCCCCATTTCTCGCTTTGGGAACGCCCCAACAGCTGTAGGTTTAGGAATTCTGAGTTTTTGAAATGTTCCCCCATTTCTCGCTTTGGGAACATCCCAAGAGCAGTGGGACTGGGGACTCTTCAGAGTTCTTCCCATTGTTCCCCCATTTCTCACTTTGGGAACACTCAACAGCAGTGGGATTAGTTATTCTTCTAAATTCTTTAATTATTCCCCCATTTTTCCCTTTGGGAACACCCTGACAGCTGTGGGATTAGGGTCTTTTTTGAGTAACTGTTCCCTCTTTTCTCACTTTGGGAATATCCTGGCAGCTGCAGATTTACAGATCCTAAGTTTTTGAATCATTCCCCCATTTCTCACTTTGGGAACATCCTAAAAGCTGTGGGATTGGGGGGACTCTCCAGAGTTCCTCCCAGTGTTCCCCCATTTCTCGCTTTGGGAACACCCCACAGCTGTGGGATTGGGGACTTTTCTGAGTAAATGTTCCCCCATTTCTGGCTTTGGGAACACCCCCAATCCCACATCCTGATATCCAGCACTGCTCATCGATGCTCCTGTGCCACAAATTCCAAGGGACACCCAGAGCAGTTTGATTCTCTGCACAAAGCCCAATTCCACGATTACATTCCCAACTACAGGAAATAAATAAAGTTTTGCTTCTTTTTCTTTTTCTTCTTCTTCTTCTCCTCGTTCTTCTTTTGAACAAGTCCCCACAACCCCCCCCAGAGATTCCAGGTGATGCTTTGGACAGTCTGGAATTAAGGTGAAGTGGAAGCAAACCTGACAGGACACACAGCTAAGCAGATCCCGTGTTAAACGCCAACCTTACAGGAATGATCTCTTAGTTTGGAAAGGAGTGCTGAACAAACAGACAATTCCCTCAATTTCTAGGGACCCAGCAAGGACAAAGAGCATTTTTTGGGTGGTTTGGAAACCCCCAGGACCCACGTGCTTTATGTCTTCTGCTCAAAGAGGTCGTGGTACTCCTGCTCCTCCAGCTCCCTGTTGTACTTCTCGATCTCCCTGTTGGCTTCTTCCAGGTAATCGTTCATGAATTGGTCCATTACTTGGGAAAAATTAAGGCAAAACATCAGTGCAAATGGCATTTAGTAAAAAAACAGCCAGGTTTGAAGGATGTGGCAGGTCAGGGATGCTCAGGGAAAGCAGGAATTCAATATATGACCTTCTGGAGTCGTGCAGTCAGAGCTGAGCACAACTACTGTGGGACCAGGGAAAAAAAGGGGCTGCACAAGGGATACTTCCCAGGCAGGAGGAAGGATATAAGAACTACAGCAGAGTTAGATGGGATATTGGGAAGGAATTCCTGGCTGGGAGGGTGGGGAGGCCCTGGCACAGGTTGGGTAGAGAAGCTGTGGCTGCCCCTGGATCCCTGGAAGTGTCCAAGGCCAGGTTGGAGCAACCTGGGATAGTGGAAGATGTCCCTGCTCATGGCAGGGGGTGGGACTGGATGGTCCATAAAGTCCCTTCCAACCCAAACCACCCCATGACTCTGTGAATGTATTTACAGGTATTTTGGTGATACAGAAGTCCAAAAATTTCTGCCTAAAATTCAAATCCCGCTGAAAGGATTGACCAGGGCCTGGAGCTTTCATTGCCAATCACCAAGGTGGAGGGGGAATAAAGAATCCCAGAATTCCAGAGTAGTTTGGGTTGGAAAGGACCTTAAAGATCATCCAGTTCCACCCTCTGCCAAGGGTAGGGACACCTTCCACTAGCCCAGGTTGCTCCAAGCCCCGTCCAACCTGGCCTTGGACACTTCCAGGAATAAACATCCCTAACTTTTCCAGTGAATCCTGAAGTCCAAGTCTGCTGTTTTAATTCTTTATGTTGTCCCATAGGACACAGAAAATAACTGTTTGCTCTTATTCCAAAGCAGCATCACAGAAGCCACTTGGATTTTCGTGAACTTTGTTGAATCATGGCGAAAAGTCAAGTTGGAATATAAAACCAAATGGGAAATTAGTAATAAAACAAAGACAAAGGCGATGAGAAGTGATGAAAACGAGAGAATCACAGAATCATTAAGGTTGGAAAAGCCCTCTAAGATCAAGTCCAACCATCAACCCAGCACTGCCAAGGCCACCACTGACCCACGTCCCCCAGTGGAGAACAAGAACAGGAATACACTGGAACATTGGCAAGAAATGCCAGAGTAATAATATTAAAGACAAAAATACAATTGTTTTCAGTGGAGTGTGTGCACAGACAAAATTCCATTCTTTTGAAAGCTTTATCAATCATGCCCAGGCACTTAGGGATATGACAGCCCAATTTGGGTTGAAAAATATTCCTTTGCCAAGCTGTGGCCCATAAATTATTCCCTGAGTGAGCTCATGAGCAGTTTGGGGATTGTTTCGTTGGTTCTATTCTGCTTCTTAGATCTTATCTCTGAAAAATTCAACCCTGAGCTTTAAGTGGCAAGGAACTGGCTCCTTCCCACGTGTGCTTTGACACTGCACAGCTCAAAACCTTTCCCCAACCCCCCAGTTTTTGAAAGGATACAGGGATGAAAATCCATTTTGTCACCAAAGAAGTTCACAAATTGAGTCCCGTTGTAAAAATAACCAGCTGGGAGCGGATCCAAGTGACGTTTCACCTGCATTGAGGGAATAAATACCACAAATGAAACACTTCCAACTGGGGATTGGGCAAACACAGGCCTTAAAAGATTGGATTAGGTAAAATTAAAATGGAAGGACTGTTACAGATGGCCAAGATTTTACAGCTCCTCCTGCTTTCCAGAGGAACTGGAAGCTCTAAGATTTATATCTCCAGTCCAGTTGTGTTCCAAGGATGTCCAAAGACAGTAAGTGCTGTAATAATTCAGTGCTCAGCACACTTGTGGCAGGTGCTCTGTCATCCAGATGGATCTTTAAGGAAATCAGCCAAAAAAAGGGGCTTGTAAGGAATTGCTTCTACTCACGTGAATGTTCTTTATTTCCTGAAGGGTCAACATTCCTCTGGTTTTCAGGGCTTTCCTCTGAGGTTTCTGTAGGAAGAATTAGACAGTTGCACAATTACTGAGTGACAATGTGACAGCACAGTTTAGTTAGTTTAAAAAAAAAAAAAAATCCACAAAAAACCACCCCCAAAACCAACCCAAAATAGATCAAACATTAATTTCTAAAATTATATTGAGGTGCTCACAACTATGTTGTGAAAGCAAAAGTAAAAATTCACTGATTTTACATAAAGCACTTAGAAAAGAAAAATTCTACCTGTATTTTTAAACAATACAACTTAAATGCAGCTTTAGTGTAAGAAATGAAGAAAGTTGGCACAGGGACAGAAAAACAACTTCATTTTGAGCCTGAGAAGTTCTACAATTCCTTTCTTTCATGCAGCAACTGGTAGCTCTCAGAACTACCTAAAACCCTAAATTAGCCAGGACTGGGGAGATTGTAAAGACTATTTATTGTCTTGAACTGCTCAAAGAGGAAACACTTCACACTTGAGATAAGCATTTAAGTCCCAAGTTTTCCTATAGTTAAGAGTGTTAAAGTTAGGAGTGGGAGAGCAATTCTTTCCATGTGTTCCCCCTGTGAGATGGGCAGAGCATGAGACAGCCCCAAAAAATCCATGACTTCCCTGAAGGGACACGACCTGCCAGAACTGAGGTGAGAACCTGAGGATCCTTAAAAACTGCTCCAACAGTTTGCAGGAAACATTTTCCCTTCCTACACAAATTTTTAAAAATACTACACAAATCCTAAGGCAAAGAGAAGTAATCAGGAGTATTTTAAATTAATAAATTTTCCAAAATTTGCACTGGCACGGGTTGCCCAGAGCAGCTGTGGCTGCCTCATCCCTGGAAGTGTCCAAGACCAGGCTGGATGGGGTTTGGAGCAACCTGGGCTAGTGGAAGGTGTGGGGGTTGGAATGAGCTGGTCTTTAAGGTCCCTTCCAACCCAACCATTCTGTAATTCTGTGAATTTAAGATTCTATCAATCACTGTGTGCAAACTGTGCCTTCTGGGCTCCTGCCAAGGTGCACATTCCCTGTTCCCTCCCCCAGCTCCTACTGCAGCAGCACAGCAGCCATGCAGAAATCCAGGGAGCCTCCCAGAGCTGCACACTTGGCTAATTGAGGGTGACAAAGTGAGCAGAGCCCTCCATTCCAGTGGATTACTTCCAAGGAGGTTTAATTTAGTGAATCAAAACAAATGTTCTGCTTTGCAGCGTTCAGGTACTTGAAGGAGATTTATTTCACCCCACACTCGAGCTCTTGGCAATCACAGCACAGCTACATCACCCTGTGTTTATCCTGGACAGAATCCATATTGCTCCAGCATTCAGGAGCACATCAATCCATGAATGAGCTGCAGCAAGTCCTAAAACAATACAGCAATTACAGCAACTGGTAGTCCCCCCCTTTGTGCAATACATTTGCACCCTAGAATGGCAACGCCTTGGTAGAATTAAAAAGAGATTAAAAATACAAATGTTTCGTGGAGACACTGGGATTTCTTCAGCCAAACACTGAAGCAAAAGGAAACCTGCCCACAAACCTGTTTTGCAGTTTCTCTGAGCCAATCTTTGATATCCTCTTCCTTCAGGGAGCAGCCAATGAACACAAGGAAGTATTCCTGTTGACTGCTGCAGTCTCTGGGATCATTTCTGGAGTCAGGAGGAGTTGGCCCCTCCTGGACAGGCACCAGGCTCAGGGAATTGGAGGAGGTGTTGTGACAGACCTCAATCACTTTGTCAGAGTCTAACAAGGAGAAGGCAGAAGGAAGAAATGCCCTGGTAATTGCTGATCTCATTTAACATCAACAGTCACAACCCAGCACAGAAATAAGTTCTTAAATGCATATAGTGAGATCCCAAAACAACCCTTCAGTAGTGATTTGCTCCTACCTGAAAACTTCACTTTGCCCATGATGTGATAAATGTTCCCAGAAAAAGGGCTTGGCTTGAGCAACGACTTAATGGCTGTTTGAAACAGAAGAAAAATACATTATCTCACTTATTTTTCCTTCTCCTTGGTGCAGCTTCTGCTCAGACCTCAGCTACTGATCCCTAATCCAGTGCTTCCAAGGGAAAAGCTGCTGTGTCCCTTGAGTTCCACCATATAACATTTCTCTGTGTTCTCATTTCTCTGCTCTGGGGTTTGGGAAATATCACGTATTTGGCACAAGGAAGTGCTTTCAGTGTGTGTGGGAAGTAAAATGGTCCTCCTTAAACTGCTTGGCCGAGGAAAGGCATGATTATATATCTACCCTATCTGCCTAAAACAGAGCTCAGCCTAATTTCCAGTAGCTACAAAGAATTATTTGGCATAAAAAGCAGAAGCCGATGGTCACTTATAAACTGTATTTCAACACCACCAAATAAAATTAAACATAAAAAATAAATGGCAAATAAAAAAATTTTTAAAAAAGCACAACTGTCTCAGTCCTAAAACCCAAAAAAACTAAATTAGATTTTTATCTGAACGAAATCATGTGTCAGTTTTCCCGAGCAGACACCGAGGAACAGAATTTACTGTACTTTTAGGAAGGAAAGCTGAATTCTCCATTAAAGGTTGACTTGGGCAGTAAGTAAATAGCTGTGTTAACGTCAGTGCCTTCCTTCCCCTCTGCTCCTCAGGATTTCAAGGCTGGATTTCAGGCAAGTGGGGCAAAGTTCAGCTCTACCTTTGCATTTGGCCACGAATCGGGTCTTCTCCAGGGGGCGGCTGAACCACACACAGATCTGCACCATGGGGGGGAACACGGGCCCAGCCCCGTATTTGCCTTCGTACCTGGGGCAGAAACAAACCCAGAAACAAAGAAAACACCTGAGCTGGTGCCTTTCACCCACCAAACTGCTTCAAAGGAACATCTGTTCCCTCCCACCCAGGGAGGAAAGCGTCGAGCTTTCTTCTCCAAGATGGCAGATGTTCTCCAAGATGTGGCATCAACAGTGTCAGGATGTTCCAAGTGCTCAGGGCTCCTTTTCATGGAAGAGCCAAGGAATGGTTTGGGTTGGAAGGGACCTTAAAAATCATTTCCAAGCCAGTGCCATGGGCAGGGACACCTTCCACTAGCCCAGGTTGCTCCAACCTGGCCTTGGACACTTCCAGGGATCCAGGGGCAGCCACAGCTTCTCTGAGCAACCCGTGCCAGGGCCTCACCACCCTCATAGCCAAAAATTCCTTCTAAAATCCCATCTAAACCTCCTCTTTTACTTTAAAACCCTTCTCCCTTGCCCTACCACCATCTACCCATGTAAAAAGTCACTCTTCCTCTCCTTCATGAGCCCTCTTGAAGTACTGGAAGGCTGCAAAAAGATCTCCCTGGATATTCTGATGCTCTTCCTGCTGCCTTTTCCTTTTCCTAACACACTACCCACATAATTCTTTCATACTGTCATCAAACAGATCAACAGCTGCCCAAAAGTTTTAAACAGAATCAGATTCTATGATTCTATGAAATACTTTCTTTGCCTGCTTGCTCTCCCTCTCCCTTTGGTTCCACACAATCCACCAGCAGCTCCAACATCTCCCAAGCTTTGTGCCAGTTTTCTCCAGGAGCCTCCAATTTACAACCAGATTTATGAATCAAAAGACACACACACACACAAATCCAGGCCTGGCAAGGTATGAGCAATAAATCATGTTTCCAGCACAGCCACCACTGGAGCCAGGAGTTATGAGGGCTGACAGGTTTATATTCCTGCCAAAAAAGGTGCAGCACAGATAACTGCAACAAGATGTGCAAAGAGCCCTGATCCATGAAAAATCTCCTTGGAGTTCAGTGGCAATCTTGGTGCCACGTGGTTCTGTGCCCTCAGCCTGTGCCAAGGCTGTCACTGAGGTCCTGGCTTTTATGAATAATTGTTCTGTTAATGGCTCCACTGACAGAGCGGGTTCATTCCAGAAAGGCTGAAGAGCTGTCAGGGGGAAATTACTCCAGTCATTATTGACCTCACCCATCCCAAGCCTTCCCAGCTTATTCCCAGAGGGTTCTTTCCCATTCTTCTGCAAAGCAACAGTAATCTTGCCCTTGATTTAAATGGTGTCCAGAAAGGAGCCTTTTCCCCCATAAAAGGGTGGCAATCGTGTACCCACTAAGAAAACTCATCAGCTGCCTTAAAAATGATTTACAAAGCTGCTGCCTGTTCCAAGTGAGTGAAAAAAAATAAGTATAAATGAAGTCAGTGAAACATTTGAATCTTCAAGTTAATTGGAAAAATAGTTTTCGTGCTTCTCAGTCTAGATACTTGCCAGCCAGGGTACATTAAATATCGAGCTCTCATCATCTGAGGACTTGAAAAACTGCTTTCTGAGAGAATTAGTTCAATATCCTCGTTCCTGTAAGGAGATAAAATGAAGATTTTTAATTTTATAAGTTCCATAAAATAGCCACTACCTGCTTACATAAAACATAAGGTGTTACTGACACCAAAATTAAGAGTATTTTTCCTCTAGTGTGGCAGTTGCAGTAACATAAATCACACTCTGCAAACAAACCCCACTTCCTAATCCCTGTATTTATATGGCCATAAATGTAAAGGGAAAAACCCCTTTTGGATGAGAAGCAATTAAGAAAAATCTGCATTTCCTTCCTATAAATCACCAGAATAAAACAGGAGAACACAAGGTTTTAAGTGCTCGTGTCCCATCTGCCAAAAGTGATAAATTTTGGATGGGGATTGTTGGTACCTTGTTACAATTCCATTCTCTGCCAGGATGAAGGAAACAGCAGGATTTGCTGCTCGGATCAGGCTCTGCAGCTGCACAAGGAGGGGATGTCTCTGCTCTGTAGCATGACTTGTGAAAACCACATTACTCACTAGTCCTGGGGAAGGAAATCAGAGCATAATTTACATGTAAGCAGCGATAAAGAAATGATTAAGTGATACATCAGCCATTCTTCTCTTATTTCCCTTCCCTCTCACTGCCTCCAGTTATTAAAGAGCAAAAAAAAGAACAAAAAACCAAGCAAAGTATCTTTCATCTAACAGAGGCAATTCAGACTCAATCAAAAGACTCAATTAATTAAAATAACAAATTCCTACAAGAATCAATTTGAGCAGGACTATGTTAATAGAAACCACGAAGCCTCTTGGTGAATTCAACGTGCAGTAAAGAGGCTAAACAGCTAAAAAGCAGTATTTTGGACTCTGGCAGCTGCCACTTTTAAAAACAAGAGAAGGGTTTGGGGTTATTTCTTGTCTTTCAAGAAAGACAAGACAACACCAAAATGGAGTTCAGACAACACGTGTGAACCCACGAGGCATCAAAAAGATAACAGAGAAAAAAATCCAATTAATTTCAGTGTTACAGGATCCCTGCTTCCCAGTTATACATGATTTGAGCTTCAGCCCAGCTCCCTCACAGACACTGCAGTGCCAACACTCTGGGACTCCCCAGGATGTCAGGATGGTCCAGAACGTGTAAGGAAAGGAGAGGAAACGTAAAGGAAACGGCCTCAAGTTGTGCCAGGGGAGGTTTGGATTAGATATCAGGAACCATTTCTTCATGGAAAGGGTTGTCAAGCACTGGAATTGGCTGCTGAGGGCAGCAGTGGAATCACCATCCCTGGAAGTGCTAAAAAAACTGTGGATGTGGCACTGAAGGACATGGGTTAGTGGTGACCGTGGTGGTGGTGCCTGATGGTTGGACCTGATGATCTCAGAGGGCTTTTCCAACCTAAATGATTCTCTGATTTTAGGGTGACTGTTATTTCTTTGCTTAAGGTGTGCAGCTCAGTTCAGACACTCTGCTGTAAAGCAGACCAGAAACTCTCCAGCATCCAGGAACAACTGAAGGAGGATTTAATTCCCCTGCCCCCATCACCATTTAAAGAAGATGTAATGAAGTTCACCCCATCATCTGCTGCCTGTAGCTATTCCTGGCCTTCACAGAAGTCCTGCAGAGGCTTCTTCACCCAGAAATTCCTGCACCAAGTAGTTCTGGGGCACTTATATTGCACCATATGCTCCCCACTGCTGCTCCTTCCATCACTGACCCTTTCAAACTCAAATTTTCATAACGCCCCAAACAAATCTCCATCATTGTATTTCTCCTTTTTTTAAACTCCCACAGAGGTTTCCACTCCAATTTCAGGAACATCCATGTCCTCTCCAATATCCAGTTGCTTTTGAAGGAGGAAGAACAGCAAGTATGATTCAAAATTTAAGTTATGTGCAGGCTTGAAATGATATCAAGTTCGGGGATATTAATCATGCAATTAAAATGAAAAGTATGAATAAGCTGAAGTATGAATAAGATAAAGTATGAATCAGCTCATAATCCCATCCTGGAAGCATCCAAGACCAGTTGGACAGGGCTTGGAGCAATCTGGCATAGTGGAAGGTGTCCCTGCCCATGGCAGGGGGTGGAATGGGATGGTCTTTGAGGTCCCTTCCAACCCAAACCATTCCTATTTAAACTGTCACTGCCATCCCTGTTTCTAAGAGATGCATTTTGGAGACCACCCAGTTTTGTTTGATTCTTTATACCCTGATCTAAAGAAAAAATTCCTTGCAGCCTGGGGAATAGCATGTTCAATAGGAGCAGGAAAGAAACAGGAGGGATGGATTAAAAATACATATGCTTTAGGAAAATAATGGAGCCTCTTTGCTCCCAAATGTACAATGGGCATATTTAACAATGGTGATGTCTTAATTTGAGTTGTATATGAAACTGTTTTACAAGAGATGCCAAAGTGCCCTCGGATTGGGAAGGTGTCACGTTACAGCTTCTGTGCAGGAAAGGAAAGAATTAAAACAGGGAAGAAAGGAGAGATAAAAGGGAATTACAGCACAGAGATGATGGCAGGATTTTTTTGGAAAAGGTGAAGCAAATGTGCACAGCAAAACTGCTCCTGTTGGTCACTCTGCTGGAGGCTTTGTCAGTCTGACCCCATCCTCATCTGTCTCTGCAGCTCTTGGGGCTTTCCAAACAGGACTGTAACTCATGGAAAATGATGTCACATCAATAATGTGCACAGGGACCCCTTTGTTATAGAGAAAGCAAGAGCAGAAGAGACCTGGAAAGCAGCAGCACAAGGGAAACCCCACTCACCCCCAAATTTTCCAAGGTACTTATGTGGACAAGGTAGGTATCCCAAAGGTCTGACTCATTCCTGCTTGCCTATGCCCACACTTGGTTTTCTTTACACCTACAAGTTTCTGTTTTCAGATTTGTTCAATGCCCAACACTGCCTTGGCCCACTGGTGACACAGGAACACAAACAACAATATTGGGGTGCACAACACCCCAAGAATTTCCCCAGAGGGTGGTTGGGCACTGACCAGGCTCCCCAGGGAATGCTCATGGTCCCAAGGTTGCCAGAGTTTAGACAACCCTCTTAGGGACAGGGTGGGATTGTTGGGGTGTCCTGGGCAGGGCCAGGAGTTGGACTGGATGGTCCTTGTGGGTCCCTTCCAACTCAGACTCATGGAATATCCTATGGACAAGTAGGATCAGTATCTCTCAAAGTGAATGTCTCAGTAAATCTCGCTATTGCTGCACCAGAATTAAATTCTCAATTATGTGCAATCACAAGGAATTCTCTCTGTTGAGAGATATCTCAGATCACCCAGAGAAGGTGTGGCTGCTCCTGGATCCCTGGAAGTGTCCAAGGCCAGGTTGGACAGGGCTTGGAGCAACCTGGGCTAGTGGAAGTTCCAACCCGTGGCAGGGGGTTGGAACTCTGTGATCCTCAAGGTTCCTTCCAGCCCAAACCATTCCACAGTTCTATAAATTACACAGAACTAAATTCCCTGCACCACACACGACACAGTTCTGCATTAGTCTGGAAAGCTGGAGTGTCCCCCATCTCAGTTCCAAGCACACTTCTCCCCCTAAAACTTCCTGCACAAAAATTACCCCTATTTATGTGAAATGATTTCTTCACACGTGGGGCCCTCTGGGCCCTCCAGTGTCACATTCTGTACCTGAAAACTACAGGACAAAACTTTCCAGTGAGCACAAATAATTCCCTGCCAGTAGAATATTCCTCTAACCTCCAGCATTTGTAATTTTTTTTCCAGCATTTTGACTGTAGGAAAATTAGCTGTGCCTGTCCTGAGCATTTTCTAGTTCCTCCTTCAACAAGGACAAATTGTCCCTCAATTAGGTCTGTACAAATCACTTTAAAAAAAAAAGATAGCTTTATTATTTTCATTTATTTAATTATTTTTATTTTTCTTTTTTATTCTGTCACACTACAAAAAGGCATGCTTGCACTTTTAACTTCTCTGCAGTTACTGATAATTCTTTATATTCTTAATATTCTCCTTCCCTCTGCAAATCCCCCCATGGTTATAATCAGGACAGTTTTCCCCAATTTGCAGCACCAACATTTTCCTCCAAATAAAAATAAAACAATGATCTATATACAGCATCTATATACTTTCCAGCTGCAGTACAACAGTGACTTAAAAATACATATATATATGTATATATATACACATACATATGTATATGTGTGTGTATACACACATATATGTGTACATATATGTGTACATATGTATGTATGTGTACATATATGTGTAAATATATAATATATATGTGTACATATATGTGTAAATATATAATATATGTATTTACTCATATATGTACACATACATGTTAATATACATATACATATATATGTATATATACATTTACATACATATACACACATATATATGGAGATCCAAATCTCAACTTAAAAGCAGAGTTTCTTCTTCAGAAAATACAGCAAAATATGTAAACCTCTGCATATATTTGAGTTACCTGTGGATTTTTCTTAATTGCTTTTAATAAATAATGTCATTTTGCTTCTATATTGTTATTGGCTTGATCTCTCTCACCAGTCCAGTAGTGATATCTCATATTTTCATCCTGAAAATACGTGTTCTATGCTGAGAGGGAGGGAGAGCTGGTACCTTGAAAAGAAATGTTCTGTCCTGCCTTAATGTTGTGCATCAGCTGCACAAAAGAACAACTGTCAAATCTGCTTCTGCTCTTGACACTTAAACTTCTTCCACAGAAGCAGGAATTCATGGAATGGTTTGGGTGGGAAGGGACCATGCTCCAGAATCTTCCGCCTTCTCCAGGTGCCTGTGATGTTTGATAGTTTGGGCAGAGATTGTCTGTTCTCCAAGGGTTTATCATGATCCTTTGGCTACGTGAATTTATAGCTAAATATGTAATATAAATGTATTCATTTGGCCACATGGCTCAGCTGCTTGTTCTGCAGAGCACCAAGTCAAGAAAAGTGACACCTACCTTGGGAACACTGGTCCAAGAACTTGGGAAAAAGAAGCCTAAAAAACCAAAAAGTTTGTATATCAAGGCTGGATATTGTTATTTAAGCAAAACATGCACATTTGTTTGGACACTGACAGCTACAATCTCACTAACCAAACCATTTTCATGCTTCCTTTCCTCACTCCACACCACTGGAACATCCCCACAGGTTGTGTCTCTCAGGACTTCTTCCCCAAGAACTAGTTTTGTAGCTGGTTTTAGTTCTCCAATGGATCTAAGAGCTAATTCTCACCACACAATTCATTATGTATTCCAGAGAGTCAGAAAGGCTTCAAGGTCACCAGAATTCCTATTTAAACAACAGGAATTTTTTTATGCTTGTCTTAAAAAAATTTGCCTTCCAAGCATGGTGGGAACTCTTCATGGGAAGATTGTAATAATGATGCCAATTTCTGGTGCTGTGTCAGACAAGTGACAATTATTTTTATCATTATTTTTATAATTTAAAAGCTTTAGCATGCACACAAAGCTCTAGAGAGAGTCCCACTTCAACTCCCTCTCCCCCCTGCTCTGGTTTGCTATTCAAAGATAGTTTTAGGGAAAACTTTGAAGGGAAAAGCTCCATCCCAGGCTCATGGAAGAGCTGGATCTCTACAGGAATGAACTTTGAGGCAGGAAAGGGGTTTGATTTTCTCGACTGCAAAAGTTTCAAGCCAAACATTGAACCCACTCTTGTGCATTCCCACAGTGAAATCACCAAAGCTGCCCAACTGCAAGAGTTGCCATTGGCACTACTTGGTAAATTCTGATCAGAACAAACTTCAAAGCAAGACATAAACGACCCACAGCACAGGTTGAGCCTCTTCCTTCAACTGCTCCTGCACTGGAGGAGACAAAACTCTGCTGGTTAAAGCACTGCAGGCTGGGCTGCTCTAAATGCTACTCAGGACCAGGGCTAGTGACACGTTAGTGAGTTAAAACCAACAAGAAATGGAACTTGTCTTTCCTCCAATTATGGAAAGCACAAGTTTAAGCAGCACTCCAGCACCAAATCCCCAGGAGTTCACGGGAGTTTTATTATTTCTTGACAACCTTTGTCACGGAGACAAGAAGAAAGCAGCAAGATAAGGTCTATTTATTGACTACTGCAAAGCACAAGCAGCACAGTGGTTAGTGGTTAAGAACAGCCAGGAAATCTCAGGAATGCACTTTTATAAACTGCTCGGGCAGTTCAGCTCTAAGCTGTGGTGCACAGAGTTGGCTCACAAACAGAAGCGACGCTAACAACTCCGAACACTCTAACTGCTTCCACTTACTTTGATCAACTCAGCTGCAAGGCATAATTAAAAAAGGGGAGGGTTACAATTTCACAGAGAAATCTAAGAGATGATTCCCACGTTTGCTGAAGTCTGGAGCACACACATCTACTATGAAACAGCAACCAAGGCACAGTGTTTCCAAATGTCACCGACTTGGCTTGGCGAGCGTTTCCTCCCCGCCCTGGCTCTGCAGTGACCCAGGATATCAGGTTTTAACACTTGCAGTGCTTTGGCTTCCGTGCTTTGTCATTCCCTTCCACTGAATTTGGGATTGCTTCCCTTCAGTTCCACGTTTAAAGGCTGCAAAGTCTTTCTTTTAACGGCCCAAAGCAGTGACAGAATCAATAACCCAAACCCAGATGAACGTCTCGATTTTCAGTCCAAATTCCAAACAGGGTTGTAAGAAATAAAATGATTTAGAGGGCTGTCCACATTATTCAAAGTCCTTACCTAGACTTACATATTTAAGCAGATTTAGTTTGCTCTTCCAGAAGCTAAACTTTCATTAATATAATATATAATTCTATACCTTGTGGAAATCAAGTGCCATCCTGATAAATCAAAGAGCACTTCCAAGTTTTATGGGATTTAAGACACTTCACTGGCATTTAACCATCATATATCCCTAATTATTATAAAAGTGATCTTATAAACACACATATCTGCTTTTAAATATATTTTAAAGCATACCTGTGCTCCATGTAGCAGCTCAGGGGCTCCACACAGGTGTTCACTGCTCCAATGAGGAAGGAAGATTTCACATCTGGGTCAGGGTGAGTCTGCAGAGCTTGTACAACATCAATAACATCAGTGTATCTGTAAGAGAAGAGAATGAAATGTGGTTTTAGAGAAACATAAGGGCACATTCCACCATTTAGGAAGAAATCCATCACTAGCAAGAAGGTTGGATTCCTAAAAAAGTCCATTGAATAGTGAGAGAGCAGCTCAAAACTTGGCAAATCCAATTTAAGCCAATCCAGACAAATGGAGCTGATTGAGAGTTACCTTAAAAATAATTATTGACAACACAGAGAGAAAAGCAGGATAAAAAGTCCAGCTTTCAGGAAGCACAGAAAGCATAATATAACAAAAGTAAGTTACACCTAATGCCAAGCATATTAAACACAAGTCAAATTTAAAAAAAAAAAAAAAGAAATAAAAAAGCAACACCCTCTCACTTATCAGCATCCCAATTTAAATATGCTTCTGTAATTAATGTATTTATTAATTTTAATATAATCAATGAGTTTATTTCTTATTCACTGCTCCAGACACTGTTGGGTCCTATTTCTGTGTGATCACAAAGTTTAAGTGAACCTGAGTTTTAATTCCAGGTGTTTATTTCTCAGCCAGTCACAACCTTCTCTCAAAACTGTGCTGTCAGGTAGCAATTTAATGGATTATTTAGAGAATTCCAGCTACTCTAGAGCTGTCTGTACCAATATCCAACTATCCAGAAAGGATGGAAAACTGCCAATTAGCTGTTCCTGAAGCCACTGCTGCTACAGAATATCAGTTATTTTACACATTGCTGGACTTTACACCACTCCTGCTAACTCTGAGTAAAAAAAAAAAAAAAGTGAATGTGGCTCTAAATGGAAAAAAAATGATGATTTTTAGCACTATCAGAATGGTTTATAATGAAGAAAATGCTGAGCTCCATGTAGTGAAACAGAGGAACACTTTGAATCCTGGGAAGTAAAACCATTCCAGTCAGGTCAGGGTGTGTTGGTTAGTTTGTGTCACCTTATAATGACTCAGAAACAGAGGGGGGAAACTTGTTGCAGGTGATCCTGGTCCTCAAATGCTACCCTGGAGATGGAAATGTCAAACAGAGGTGGCTCAGAGTCTTCACCTTTATTCCACAAGAAAACTGGCATTTCTCAGAAACATGTTAATAAGTGTTACTCCAATATCACCTCTGTCATCAGGCAAAGAGTTCTGACAGCCCTGCTCTGTGCTGGCAGCTCCAAAGGGCACAGCCATGGAATCATAGGAGGGTTTCGGTTGGAAGGGACCTTAAAGATCATCCAGTCCCACCTCCTGCCAAGGGCAGGGACACCTTCCACTAGACCAG